GTTTTTAAACTTTGGACTCGGTTGGGTCCAGTCAAATTATATTGAATATATATTCGATAATACCCCTTTCTGCAATTATCCTCAAATCCAAATTGCAATATCACTGCACCCCCCCCCCCCAGAGGGAATAATATATATTTTTTAGACACAATTTTAAGCTTTACAGCGGAAAATTAGACTGAAAATAGGATTAATTAAAATACAGTAGCTATATATTATAATGTCTATAACATGTATAACAAAAATATGTTCTCTGTTTAGGATTGTAGGTTGTAGGTGAGAGTGTATGTTAGTAACTAGGTAGGTTTTAATAACGCTCTAGTTGTCGCAGTGACAGAAAATGTTTTATTAACATGAACGATGAATGACAATGCATAAAAGTTGATTTAAGACATAAGAGAAAATAACAATGCATAAAAGTTGATTTAAGACATAAGAGAAAACAAAAAAAAGACACGTAAATAATAACGACAACTAAAATAAACGCGACGTCGGTCGTACTGACGGGACGGTGGGAGAGCTGCGTCGGACTGTCGGACAACCGGTGTAATGCCGAAATGACTCTGACTATTACCCCATAGGATGCGACGTGTACGACGACCGATATAATGCCAGAATCACTCTAACTATTACACCACTGGCCGACGCACCAACCGCACGACGAGCTCCCGGGAAACAAGGGAGAAGTCAGTTTACTGCCAAGCGCAAGTCTGCCGCGGGTGGGTTTTGCTACAAGGCAAGTAAACGACTGGATGATTGACCATCGGTCACTCAGCCTTTTATACCCGACCTTTCGGTGATAATAAAGTGACGGACTCGTGTTCTGTACCGAACTTTGTCAGGTAGGACTAGTGTTCTGTGACGGAAACCGTCGCTTTATTATCGCCGAAACGTCGGGGATACAATTTCAGATTAGATAACAAAAATAATAGTAATAATGGATAATGGAAAAGAAACGGGTGGCGTAGACATTCTCAAATTTGTTTTTTTTATTATTAAGGAATCAAGAAAAGTCTTAAAATTTGGAATTTTGTAAGCTATTTTGTGCATGGGAACTTAAAATTTTGTACAAGGACTATTATATGATACTATAATATAACTAAACAAAATTTTTAAAAAAATTAGACAATTTCTTTTGCATATATTTTGTGAGCACTTGCTAATATAACTTGCTATATTCAAATTCGGAGGTTATAAAAAATCATAAGTTGTCAAACATATCATTTTAGTATTTTTGCATGCAGATATTTTAATAAATCGCTTTCAACTACTACTACGAAAAATAAATCAAATTTTTAATAAAATCACGTGTACAAAGGACAAAGGTAAAATTGATTTTAATGTGTACTTGTGTGTGTAATTTGTGCATGTTATTTTTATTAATAATTTAATATATTTTGTTTGATGACTATGACGTGCACCGCATAAACGTGTTTATGAAAACGCGTAAGTCGAACCAAAATGATCATAGAAAAGAAAATGTTGATATCGTTAAAAAGAGAAGAACTTTAACTAGGTTCTCTCATCCGTTTTTTTTAGAAAACTTAAATTTTACCTTAAATACAAACACTTAAAAAAGTAACAAAATGTCAGAATTAAAATATAAATTGTGAAAGTTTGCTTAATAATTTTAAAAAAAAGTTGACGAGAGCACCTAGATAAAGTTCTTATTATTTTAAACATGAAAAAAAACTTGTCTACGATTGTTGTTTAGTCAATTATAGAGAACAATATGCGTAGCCTATATGTTTAGATGAAAAAGCAATTTGAAATCGTTGTCAAGGATGCTGCGACAGTCCAAAAAATAAATTAACATCACAGTTTAACCTTTGAATTAAGATTTAAATGAAAATGAAAAAAAAAATCGCCTCTACCTAACTATTTCATAAATGGGGGTTTGACGTCATCAAAGTTTTAAAACAAAAGAAGAAAAGAATATCAAGTACAAAAATCGGGTTTTGGTAATCTCCGAGTAAACAGTTAATTTTTTTCTAACCCAGTGCATTTTTTTCAATGTCATATAAAATTGTTGTTAAAAATGTTTGGTCAAATCACGGTATGGTTAGCGACGAAAGATATGAAATACTTACCCAAAAACATGTAATAACAACATACTTTTCCAGTGCATATGAAAAGGCGTATTATTTATAAAATAAGAATCACTGACGCCCCTTTGATTATTTCACTCATTTATTTCTTTACAAAATGTCCTTGTACGTAATATTGCAATTTTTTCAAAATTCTATCCGAAATACCAATAGTGTTATCTACACTTAATTATAATTTTCAATATTGTTATTACATAAATATATAGTATTGCACAACGTTAAAAACTATAGTATTCAATACATCATAATATGAATATTCCAATTTCCTTAAAAGTTAAACCCATAAAAATAAAACATATTTTTTTCTTCGCTCCAAGGAAAAACATTGAATCATGGATATGGTGTCACATAATATCTTTTAACAATTATATCTTATCAATTTTCGATTATTATTTACCACGTATCTCCAATATCTTATATCTTATCTCTAGCTGAAAGTAAAAGTGTCACGCGAAAATGGTGAAATGAAATTTCTTGTATCCAGACCAATAACATATCCATGTTAAAATAAAAGTACCTATATAACTATAATATAAGAGATAAAAGATATGGTTATTACTTAGGAACACAACCGAAAAATCGACACCTACATCGAAATCGAAAATTAATTCTTATATATGTCCTTCTATATCCTTATATGTCCTTCTTATGAGGGTGGGAATGGGGAGGGTTATGAGGATGGTAGTGGACTAGGGTGGATATGGGAATGGGGATGGGGATGTTACATTTATATGATAGGATACAGGAGATTGGAAGTAAGATATAGGAGATTAGAGATGAGGGATGAGGTTGGGAATGGGCTTGTAGGTGGAAATGGGGGTGGGGGCATATATGTTGTATTCACAACGTTCAATATAGTAGATATTATGAAGACACTAAAATATTAGCCAGAAACTTTATATGTTTACTAGCCACCTTAGGTACTTAAAAATGTATCCCGTGGTGTTGCGGACTCGTACGCAAACTGTTAAAATATAATATGTAGTACCTATGTAAAAACCTTTAATAGAGCCTTTCTTTTTGTTTAAAAATACCATATCGAAATAAATATTGTAATATTGTAATATTGTAAATATTGTATTTAAATTATCTAATTGTTAATTTTAGCTACATTTTAACCACGCAGCTCTCTGAAATTGATAACCGGATTTTGTTTTTTAGTGCCTTATTAGAATTACTTTGCCTCGTAAATTTGCAGTGAATGTTTCTTTTGTGAGTTTATCGGTCTTGTTTGTGTTAGTACTACTATTGTGTATTGTAATTAATATTTTTCAACACATCGCGCGTGTGACCTACTTTGGCAGAAGTTGTACACGTGCGACGAGTTCTCGGCAACCGATGGTACGACGGAAAAAAATGATTTTTTTTTTATAATAATATTATAATTTTATTGCAATAATAAAAAATACAATATGATACAAATTTGAATATTCAGACGACGATATTGCTGCATCCATTAAAAGCTAAGCTTGTGCACTGGGGGAGCGAAAATACACAATATATGACAATATATATTTTTAATAATAATAATGTAATATCATAGACCTTCTTATAAATTTATTACCTCAGCTTTATTTAAGTATTTAATATAATTTTAAAATTAATATTTAACAAACGACATACGTTTAAACTTTAAACTGGTATGTAGAATACTCTTTTTGTCGAAAAACTTTATGACAACTTAGTAGTGAAAAGTATGTTACTATTGTGTTTATATCTAGTGTTATGTCCATGATCTGATACAGGTATTAAATGCTGATTTTGATATAATTCTACTAATACGGATAACTTATAAATAATCTTAAAATTCTTTACATTAAGTTTATAACAAATTATAATAGAGCTAGTTTGTATAGGATGATTTATTAATTATTTAACAATACAAATTTTTGTAACACATAGCCTAGACAAAGATGATTAAAAACTCTACCCCAAATGGATACACCATAAGAAAAAAATTGATTACACTGAATCTAAATAAAAAACTAAATATTAAATATATACTAAGCTTCATTAAATATGTAGAAAAATATCTGTAAAATACTATTAACGTAATTGATATGACTATTGGTTAAGTCTATAATCTATAATTAGGGGAAGGTATTTCAATTCATTAACACTTTCATGTTTTAAACATTACGAACGACATTTATTATTCAAGTAATTTTTTAATGAGCCTAATAAAGTTACAATATTGTTGTATAGCTTTAATAGAGTTAATACTATTATTAATTAATTTGAAAACCAGAAAACAATGATTATTTATGAAATATCAAATACGGAGTCAACATAAATTAAACTAATATAATTGATATTTAAAATATTATGTAAATTTGATGTATAATTCATTTAAAATTAAATTTGTTTTTAGATAATTCTAACATATTAATATATACTGAATAATTTCTGTAATATTAGAGTTTTCATTTCACACTAGAATATCATCATTGACACTAGAGAAATTTGTATTGTTTTTCTTTGGTAGCTAATCTGGTTTGAGAAAATAGTGTTCTTTTGAATTTTGTTACTCGCTCATTGATGAACACATTTCTTTAGGCCAGTTACTACTTCATCATATTCGTAGCTGCCTTTAAATATTTCTCATTACGAATTATCTGTTTTCGCCAGTCAAGTGTTGCTAATATAGCTACTACTATATTTTGTTTATGGCACTATTTCAATGGAGTGGTGAATACATCCTTTTTGAATTAGTCATTTAGTAAAATTTGAGTCGTTCAGAAAGAAACGTTAAAAACCTTCTACCAAATAAAATAAAGATATCTTTACTAGATTTTGCTTATGCTAAATTGAGATTTAATATAATATATTATTATGTAAAAATATTACCTAAAATATTTTATAGGTATTACTTATATAATATTGGGTGCAATATATAATAACAATTTTATTTTAGATAAAATTGCACGGACATATTGTAAAATAGAAAGTTATTATAATAATAAAAGACGTAAAGGAGATTTAGAGGTTTCATGAAAATGAATGACTAAATTGTGTTTTGCTGGCCTACTGTACCATTAGTAAGTATTACAATAACAATAAAGTAAGACAAATTAAATGATAGATGCATAGTAATGCTAGATAAATAATTTTGTCGTTATCCCAAAAACATCAATTTCCTTCGACCAGAATACTTAATGCAAGCTCATAGTTCAAAGTCGTTAACTTATTAAAGTTATCGCCGAATTCTTGAAGAAATGTTGTTATCATATCCACACTAAACTCTTCGTTTATGTCAATACTAATCCAATCGCTTCCATTTGGGTTACGTCCGTTTAACTCCACTAAAATGACTTTGACTTTTACTGATATTCTAGCTATGATGTTAACAAAGTTGTTTTGGTCTTCTTCATTCATTGAACAACGAAAATCTGCTACTACATCAGAAAAAAAATTATCGGTGCATGGCATGAATCTTTGTACCCTATCAATTATATCCATTGCCTTCCAATAAAAAAATGTTAACTGGTACAGATTCATTTGAGAGTATATTACCAACATTACCCACAGAAAGATGTACATTCTCACACTGATAATTTGCTTAATCAACTTGTGGTAACTAAGGTGTCCGAAAGGTTGCGATATCCATTGGCGGTTTTCAATGTATTCTTTGGTTTTATTCACTTCGACTGCGTGACGTCTTATCGTTGGCCTCCATTCTACGGCTGAGCCTGTTATTTCTCCAAACAGTAATTCGTGTTCTTCCCATAATGGTTTTAGATACAAATGGTCGATCGATATGTATTGCATAACGTAAACATAATCTACGGCAAGCGAAAGAGAGGCACGAAGTTTTTGAAAAATGTTAATTGGTACATTATCATTTTTCGACACCAAATCAGACTCTGTTCTATTTTTGGGAAGATATTTGTTATCTTTACAGTTTTGTATAAAATTAGTTATATCGCTATGTAGTTCTTCTTCTACGAACGGCGTTTCCCCAAAGAAATTTTTGTTGCTCTCGTAATCAATCATCGCCATGATTTTCAAATAAAAACTCCAAAACCATTTCCCCGCTTTGATATTGCCTTTTTGAAACAACAGGACCATGTAACCCGCTTCTTCTTTTAATACGTTTAGCTTTTCTTGTGCAACTTCGATAGGTCCGCCGTTTTGCAACCTTTCTAGAATACTTGTCAAGTACACAAGTTTTGTTTTTACGATGAATAAGCAAGTACATTTAATGTCTTCGAGTTTCTTGTCAAATTTATCAAATACCTTATCGCGGCTTTTGAGATCGTTGTAAGTCTGAACAGGGGTTGTCAACATTTTAATTTCTTTTTCATTAAATTTGATTTCTTGCTGATTGTAGGTTTCCAAAGTATTCACTGTAATAACGAAAAAAGGAGAGAATGTTTGACTGACGTAATATGACGGTGAAACCTATAAAAATATATATGTACATAAATAATTGTATGTATACATTTTTTTTTAATATCTACATACTACTTTTTTTTTGTCCATAGTCTATCAATTTTAAAACTTATATCTATAACTATAATAATAACCGTTAACGTTCATCTTAATCTACATTGCTGGCTGAAGCATGTTCAACTAATGTCTTACAAAAAAATCGACTTGATCGGACGGTTTGTTGCTAAATTATTATAACAATATAAAGTTATTAAAATATTTTAAATTTTCTGGGTTTTTCTAAATTATAAGCGGTGTAAAAATGAACTAAGATCGTAAAAAATAAATTATGCATACTTTTTTTGTTGATTCAACCATCATTGAGTTGAATGTTAGTATGGAATATAATGACAATAATATACAATTGTGTGCAATCATTTTTAAAAAATTTTACTACGTTAGTGCAATTAGTCGAAATGGAATTATAATAACGTAGCAAAGTTTTTCAAGTAGTGGTAATAATGGTTTATATTAGAAACCCAATTTTGTTTGAGACTCTCAAAACATATTTAGCAAATAATGTTGTTTGTACAACGTATTGAAGAATTATAATTATCTAGTGAAATCCAGACATCTAGACAAAATAAAAACAGTTTAGTTTACTCATCGTATTTGATTTGACACTGTTAACTGAAATCATGGCATCATATTTTTGTATGTATAAGCTATAAACACTAATAGTGTTGGAGTTTAATGTTATAGTTTGTAAAATCTGAAAACTAACTGAACCTAACCTAACCAGTTTCTATTAGATCCGTCTTGAATTTGTCTATCTTTTGTTTTGGTCTCCCTAATGTTCTGTAACTACTGGGTTTCAATTTTAAACCCTGATTTGTTATTCCATTAGCCACACACCGTGCTAAAAATGTAATTTTTTTAGAATAAAGCATTAGGGGCCTAAATAAAAAAAAATAATTTATAAACTTTACTTATTTAGTAAATACATTTTACTTAGTTAATTTATGAGTAGGTAGCAAACGAGGGGTGTACCAGGAGTGACAAGCTTAAGGTTACGTAGATTTTTACAATTTGTTGTGGCCAAAGTATAAAAGCTGAAACTTTTAATATATATTTGTAACTTGTAAAAAACGAGCATAATTCTAATGACTGTATAAATTTAAAATAAAATATTATTATAAATACCTTTAATTTTGATTCAAGCAAAACTCTATCTCAGTATTCTCATTGATTGTTACATTAATAACAATTAATGTTTTTTTGGCCAATATATAAAACTTATTTTAGTTTTAATGTTCGAATTGAATTATCCTATAGATACCTAATTATAAAATATCTTTTTATAAAATACAATGCTGTATTTGTGTTTTTGACCTCAATATGTCCAAAGATAATTACTGAAAATCCCTTTAAAGTCATTCATGGAGTTAGAAGCAATAATGTTTAAGCGCTTTCTATTGATTGCCGTAGGACATATAGGTATTTTTCCTTTAACAGTGGGTAAAACATATTTAACTGAATTTATGTCATGTAAATGTTTACTTTGCGGCGGTCAGTTCTTTTGGGTTTCTCTATTGACATTATTAAAATTAAGAACTTATCTTGATCAACTTTTGTTTTAAAATATTTAAATGAAAAAACGTTGGATACAGTCAATTATTTTAGAAATCATGGAGAATGGTTTGCTTACTTCTTTGTGACCACATTCAATAATAACATTGGCTGTGATTTTATTTTTTTTAGTTTTTGTAAAAATTTTTTATTTTCTTCCTCCATCGATTACTTTAATATTTTCTGTGTACTCTAGATCATTCAAAATTTTATCAAAATTTGAAAATTTTGACAACATGAGAATTATTATTTTATAGAAACAATTTAATTATATATTTATACATTGTTTACGTTTCATTTGATATTTTAAATTTCAATTGAATAAACATAATATTTGTTCAAAACAACTAGGCACTCAATTAAATATTAAAAATAAAGAACTAGTCAATTAATTTTAATTATTCTAAATACATATAATTTACACTAGTTACACATAGATACATAACAACAATTATACTTATTAAAATTCTCTCGTTGTGCAATACCAGTTTTTAAAGTAGAAGGCTCATTAACCATTAAAGTATTTGTTTCTGCACAATTTAACTCATTAGATTGCAACAACTTTTCTACGATATCCTAAAATATTTTAAAAATTTAAATAGCATAGGTCAAAAATAAAAACAAAATATATGAGTGCCTATTGTGTTACATACAATATCAGTTTATAATATTTAATTAAAACTTACATTTTGTATGATATCAGTTTTTGAATTGGAAAGCTCAGACATTATTGTTAATGAGCTTATTTCAACAAAATTTTAATTATTATACTTCATCCTACTTTCTGATATTTTATCCTTAAATAACAATCGTTTTGGCACAAAACCCTAAAATTATAAACTTATAAGTAAAATTTTACTAACGTTTATAGCCACTAGCTGTCGGCTGTTGTCTGTTATTTAACCTTTTATGGAGATTTTAAAAATTGTATTTTTTTAATAAAAGTATAGGAGCATAATCACAAAGTTTAATGTTCACGAGATTTAATTTAGTCATAAAATAAAGTATTATCATTCATGACTTTTAATTATTCTTAAAATATATCTTAATTTGAAAATAGTAATAAAATAATGGAATATTTTATACAAAATCAGAGCTATAAGTTGATAAACTAAAAAATAGCACGAAGCAGATTATCTAATATTGGATAATTTAAACAATCAAGCGCGAGTATAATAATATGCAATACATTAGTGATCCTTTAAAAAAATTGTGTAATATGAATATAATTTTGGAACGGTAGACTGCATAAAAAAAACCACTTAATCTGGATGCAATAAACAACAGTTCACTTCATAATTTGCAGGTAGTTCAACCTAATATACTCATAGTCAACCTTCGATACGGTTGTCCGTGGGTGATAAAATAACGAGGTAACGACGGTGGTTTTGCGTGTCAGAACGATTAAGTGTCTTAAGTAAATGTCGATAAGTAGCCGGATCAGTTTTTTTTTCCGATAAATCGTGTATCTACTGTAATCAGTTACACGATTTAGTCGTCTGTGATATCATGTAGTAAACACAATATTATGATACCGATCGTTGGGTCCTAACCTAACCTAACACGGGGCGACGTTATCAACCGACAGTTATTAGCGTCTGTTCGTTTCTCTCATCTAATACACCATGTTTGTAGTTAAAAAAAAAATTTTTTTAAAAATTTTTTATTAAGATTATATGGGTTTTTGTTAAAATATACTCAATCTGCGAAAACACAGATTTCCGGAAATTAAAGTAAAACTGTTGTGCCGAATTTTTTTTCCGTTTAATATGTTATGGATACATATGAGTTCTAACTACTGACAAATTTTCAACTTAAAGGTCTTAATATTACGGCTAAAATGCTAAAAAAACCAAAAACCATTAACCCCCTCTAAGGGGGTGGGAAATGAGTTTAATTTAAATTTGATACAACTGCATGTGAGGGCATACCAAATAAATATTCTTAATAAATTTCAACTCTAGCCGTCTCTTTTTCTCGAAATTATAGCCAGTAAAACTTCTAACTTACAAACTCGAACGGTTTTTTTTGTTTTTTTCAAATTTTGACTGTGTAAAAGTAAAATTTTTCAACTTCTACCCCCTAAATTACCAAATAAATAAAATTTTTGATTTATAGAGCTGGTACTCGAAGGAATTGGTCCAGTATAAAAAAAGACACAGTGTATACAGATAAAAAAACCCACATCAGAATAAAACCAATACCTTAGCCGCTCTGCATCTAAGCTAAAAATATAAAAACAACGAAAAAGATAAGTTTCAAATTTGTATGTTTATTTTTTTACATAATATTACACTTAACTTTATCGTTTGAGTAAACAATACACAGTCATTTGGCATTATATTTTAAATAGTTGCATTGTGTAATGTATTTAAAAATGTAACATTTTAGTACATTTTTTTATTTAAAAAAAAAAAAATACTCTAAAGTATTTCTTGAAAATTATACTTATGCACTGGAATTTGTAATGAAATGTATCTGTATATTATACAAAACTATTTAAAATGTGACTGTATTGTATAAAACTAGAATTTAATAATATATTGCATAATTCAAAAATATAGTTAGCTGTTTAATAACAGATTTTTTTTGTAGACTCAAATAGTCGTATTTTTAGTATTCCAATAATTTTAAACATCAATGGTTTCAGCTTAGATGCTTAACTGTTTTATTTTTTATTATTATTTTTTTTAAAACCTGAATTCACGTTATGTCTACAGTCGCTTAATGATTTCTTGATGTGGCAAGTGTCACGTATGTATAGTAAAATATAAGTAACTAAAATAGTAAAAGAAGCGAAAGTAATTTAGAGTATTTAGTAGAAATTAAATGAATGACCAAATATAGGATTTGACTGACCTACTATTAGTATGGAATGAGGTAAGAACAAATTAAGAAAAATAAAAGTGCAATGCTGGATACATGATTTTGTCGTTATCCTCAAAAACTTCAATTTCCTTCGACCAGAATACTTAAAGCAAGCTCATAGTTTAATACCGTCAACTTTTCATTTAACCGCCAAAAGTTACCGCCAAATTCTTGAAGAAATTGTATTATCATATTATCATTAAATTCTTTGTTTATGTCAATACTGATCCAATCACTGCTATTTGAATTACTCCCGTTCAACTCTACTAGAATTTCATTAGCTCTTACCGACATTCTAGGTATAATGCTATCAAAGTTGATTTGGTTGTCATTTATTGCACAACGAAACTCTGCTACTATATCAAAAAATAAAGTTTCAGTATAGTGCATAAATATTTCTACCATATTAATAATTCGCATTGACTCAGTATACAAATGTTTTAATTGAACCAGATCCCTTTTATGCATTTCTTTGTTGAATATTACCAACATTACCCACATAAAGGTGTACATCCTCACACTGATAATTTGTTTAATCAACTTGTGGTAACTAAGGTGGCCGAACGGTTTCGATATCCATTGGTGGTTTTCAATGTATTTTTTGGTTTTAGTCACTTCGACTGCGTAGCGTCTAATCGTTGGCATCCAATCTACGGCTGCGCCGGTTATTTGACTGAAAAATAATTCGTGTTCATCCCATAGTGGTTTTAGATACAAATAGTCTATCAATATAGATTGCATTCCGTATACATAATCTACAGCAACAGACGTACGAAGTTTTTGAAATATGTAAATTGGTACATTGGAATTTTTTGACACAAAATCAAACTCTGTTATATTTTTGGGAAGGTATTTGTTATCCTTGCAGTGTTGTATAAATTTTGTAATATCGCTTTGTAATTCTTTTTCTCCGAAAGGAGTTTCCTCAAAAAAATGTTTGTTGCTCTTGTATTCAGTTATTGCCATGATTTTGAAATAATAACTCCAAAACCATTTACCCGCTTTGACATTGCCTTTTTGAAACAAAAGGATCATAAAACCAGCTTCTTCTTTTAATACGTTCAATTTTTCCCGTGCAACATCGATAGCTCCGCCACTTTGCAAGCCTTCTAGAATATTAGACAAGTATGCCAGTTTCGTTTTCACGATCAATGAGAATGTACATTTTATATCTTCGATTTTCTGATAAAATTTATCAAACACAATTTCGCGGCCTTTGGTGTCGTAGTAAGTACGAACAGGGGTTGTCAAAACTGTTATTTCTTTTCCACTTAAATTTATTTTTCGCTCATTGTAGGTTTTTAAAGTGTTCACTATAAAAACGTAAAAAGGATTGTATGTTTGATTGACGTAATATGACGGCGAAACCTATAAAACAAATATATCTACTCACATATAAATATTTACATAAGATTTTTTTTTTGTAAATTCCTATTTTTGTATTACATGTTTTAAGTCAGGTTTGTTATGTCTTTTAGGGAAAATTATATAGTGTAACGGACCCACCCTTATCAGGGCTAATAGATACATATATATATTTATTACATTGTACAACTTATCAGGACTAACATATACATATATCTATATATTATATTATATAACTTCTCATTGTTAAATATTGCTAAATATGAATGTACCACACGCGCCGATTTCACATCAGTTTAGTATTGATATTGAAAAGAATTTGTATTAGAACGCTAAACAAATTAATATTCTGAAAATTTTATTTTTACTGCTAAGTTAGAACGGATGGGCAAATAGCATCCTTACACTTATGACAGATTTTATTATAAGGCAATTTCTAACAGAACATAAAAAACCCAATCCATTGGATAAATTTTAGGTATACTCGATTGAGATAATCATAGAATTATAAGTCCATTAATAGGAAAGGTGTTGAACATGGCACTAAACGATAAAAATATTGGGTGTTTCACGGAAACAGTCCCCAAGACACGGTAACATGAATTTTAAACATTAAGTCCGGTAGTCTATACTTTCAATAAAAATGCTAATGTGGATGTTTCACGGAGATAGTCCTTAGTTACGGTAACACGAATATAAAGACGTTAACTCCGGTATTAAACAATGATATAAAAAATAAATTTAGCAGAATCCTACTGCATGTTGATATAAAAAATAATTTGAGCAGAATCCTACTGCATGTTGATATAAGAAATAAATTGAGCAGAACCCTACTGCATATTGATGTAACAAAAGATAAGTTAGGCAGAAACCTACCGCATGTTACTATAACAAACGATAAATTAAGCAGAAACCTACTGCATGTTGATAATGATAAAGATAAATTAAATATACAAGGTTATGATAAATTAAGAGTGGAAAGATCAACCGAAATCGTTGAATTTCCACTAAAAACTAAAAATGACGCGAATTCTAATAAAGAAGTTGGAAAAATTATAAAAAGTAACGAATCTTTGAACGTTTTAAAAAAAAAGACTATCGATAAAAACGGTAACATGTAAATTAAACATTAATCCCGGTACGGTTGAAACCGCTAATATAATTAATGATAATAATGATTTCGATTATAGCCATGAGGTTAAAAAATAGATAGCAGGATATCAAAGAATAACGCGATTAAATTACATAGCAATGATAGAAATATTTCGATGAAACCGAGTAAAATGCTTTATAATAGCGCGGTAAAAAAGCGTGATAAAATGAATACTAAAGATAGATCTATCGAGAACACAAATGAATTAATTAACGCGAGTAATATAATTGAAAAACACGACGCTGCAAATTCTATCGAAATAGATCCAGCTAAAGAAATTAAATTGATTAAAACAAAAAAAATGAACTGGTTAACCGATGTGAACAAATTATTAACGCGAATCGTGAGATAAAAAGTGAAACCATACCTGTATGTAATAGAAAAAAAAAAAATTTTATTGGCTCGCGAATTAAGTAGCAAGTTTAGCATGATAATTTCGACATGAACGACATCAGTAAATTATATAATCATAAATCCATTATCGGAAGACACACGTATTTTAGTGAATAAATTACAATTTACACCTGGTGATTTACCAGCGCTAACATAACTAGTATAATAAAGGATGGCGTTTTGCCAATAAATATATTAAATATAAATGAAACGCAACAAAACCGTTTAGTTTCTCGCAGATAAACGAATTAAATTATGACAACTTAGATGAATTTGAAGTATGTCACGTAAAAAAAAAAAAAAATATATTACCTTTCAGTGCCTATACTATACCGTACGTATAGTATAACACAACATTATTTTACACCGTACAAACGATATTAGTATATTTAATTCTATTCAGATAATCGACTCGTTGATATTTATCAACCAAACCCCGTATTATAATCATATACGAACGAAGACACGTATCGGCGACACGCGATACGAAATAATATTATTATTTCTGTCATATGTTATAATAAACTAAGATATTATGTTATTTTAATACTTTTAAAATAAAATGATAGTTTTCTTTTCTTTCTTTAAAAGCTAAAGATTTAAAATTTAAAACTCTGTTAAACCACTTTTTTTCAATCACTTGGATAAATAGAAAACAAATATAGCAACAAATTGCTATACGGGTTGTTAAGACATATTCTAATACGAAATACAACATTTCAGGGTCATAGGAATGTGTATACTTCGGACAGTCTGCGCGGATTTTCGGTACCACGTTGACACATTATCCGATACCCAATGCGGGTTATATTACGAAAAACTTGATTCTCTTAAGGTTCAAACCAAGGAAGTTACTCTATTGACTTATTTAGACTTAAGTCAATACAATCAGAATGCCCAACTACTAGAGGCAAGGGTTAATGCATCATACGAATATTGTGAACACTTTACTAAATCATTTTCCCCTCAATTAGCATCAATTAATGAAAGCTATATTAATTCTATTCACGATCATTGTGTAACTTTAAACACACAAGCAAGGGTTTCTCTATCTAGCATTGTAAATAAAACTGATTTAATCTTCAGAACTATTGAACCTAGTCGTTCAAAGCGGGGAATTCCTTTTAAATTATTAAGCAAGGCAGCTCGCCTACTATTCGGATTATGCAGTGAGCTATGTATACAAAATTCAGATAAAATAATAGACAAGGCATTATCAGGTGAACATTCGGTTCTACCAATTCTAACAAAGGTCCTTGGCCTTCCTAACATTACTTCTAAGCAGCCGTCTGTTGATACTTTGGAAATGATATCCGCATATGACCAAAATAACACGATAGGAGATTTGGATCGCGTTCGAATAGAAAACGCTTTAGCTCTAAGCGCATTACTTAATCAATTTTCACTAGAAGCGAACACCCTTTTTGAAATACTCCAAAGCGCTAGGTTAGGTTATATACACCCTAGTCTGATTAATGACGAGGCAATTCTAGAACAACTTAAGTCCATTACAGATCAATTCGATCCAAACACCGAATTACCTTACGCCTTATCACTACGAAATATACCTAAATTACTAAAGGTATCCAAACTAGCTATATATTATTCTAACGACCGAGTTGTACTAAAAAAAAGGAATTCCGTTAACATATGATGAAACCTTAGATGTATTTCATATATTACCTCATCCTGTTTGTATTAACCATAATTGTGTTTTTATCAAGCCCAAATTCCATTACATAGCTATGACAGCCTCACGAAAGCTATATTCCACTCGAAAGGATTGATCAAGTAGAATGCCAACAAACCGACGAATTTAGATTATGTCCGGATATTTATCCATTACATCTAACCTCAAATAAACCCTTATGCGAAGCCTTATTATTCCAAGAGTTAGACACAGCACCAGCTGTCTGTGATATAACATTCAACCAATTAGGTACTACGGTGTTCTATAAGTTAACACATCAAAATAAATGGTATTTCATTTCAAACGGGGAGTCAATACTTATTACCTGCAGTAACAGCACCAACAAGTCCCTAGCACTCATTGATATAATGGGTACTGGTATTTTAACTCTTAACGAAACTTGCAAGGCTTATGGTGCCGATCATGTATTAATTCCAAGCACTCCAACTAACGAACAAGATAATTATGGTAACTACATAGCAAATGTAACAATAAAAGAAGCAAACATTTTGACTTCTACTTTAGTTGATCAAATCCTTGACCCTTTTCAATCATCAATAAGGTCCATAACTGATTTTTTAAATACGGGAAAAAACCCTCTCTCAGTTGCAGCTTCAACAAAGTCTACTGCAAGCACCAAACAAACATTTTTATTATAACTATATCCTATTTATAATATGTTCAATTAATTTACTAATGATACTTGCCATAATTTATCTACATGACATTAACCATCGGAATTCTTTACGTCAACCGCGACGTCAAATTGTATATACTCCAGGAGAGGAAGAAGGAGTAGAATTAAGAGGAGTAGATTAACATTTTATAATATATTAACTGAAAGTAAAAGTAGAAATTTAGTTTAGCAGTTAGATTAAAAGATTCACTAATAAGAATCATTTTTATATATATATATTTTAAGGGCCATATGATACAACCATGGCCTTAAGCCTATACATTGACATAGGGGACGATGATGAGTGCGAGTTAGACGCGTGTCTACACGCCCTAGGAGAACGACGCCAGTTCACAACCGGGCCGCAGATACGTTACTTCCCAGAACCACACGTTCTATTAGGGGCTGGAAACATCATATGCCCTGAGATTTGTAGAGATAATAAAAAAAAAAATAAAAAAATATATATATAGATATACATAATCCTCTATTGTAGTATTTATTCTAAACAGTAACTCAAATTATAAACTATCACTACTACATTTCTCCCATCCGGTAATAAACCATTTAGTTAAGATTCAATTAAGTTCTAACGTACTGGGTCTTACTACCATTAGAATAAGGATAATTTGATGTATGTAAATAAGCGCACATGCGAAAAAAAAAAAATGTTCTAATTAATCTAATATATTATAAGTACTAACCACCTTTTTATTGTTCTAAGGAAACCCCATTAATATATATTGTTAACTAACCATTATTAACCTCTTAAGCAAATTAGTTAAGAACACGAAGTATTTTAAACTTTATACATTTTATTATGAATTTAATCATGTAACACAACACTTTATGTAACTATCCCAAGCAAATTGTAACCTTTAATGAAGTTTTTTGTACTACGTCCAAAAAACTTAAAAAAAACGATGGAGATGTAACGGACCCACCCTTATCAGGGCTAATAGATACATATATATATTTATTACATTGTACAACTTATCAGGACTAACATATACATATATCTATATATTATATTATATAACTTCTCATTGTTAAATATTGCTAAATATGAATGTACCACACGCGCCGATTTCACATCAGACCCAAAAGGTCATTACAGCATCTTGCGAAAGCAGACAACTTGCAATTCTGTTCACAGTTGACCTCAAACACGAGGCCAACCACTAAGAGAAACTTAACGTTTTGGCAACTACCGTGCGAATCTCACATCGAAGCTAGCCAATTTCGACCATGCGAAGGCTGCACTCTCATGCCTCTACCCTTCCTCCACCGTTGACATAAGCGGATGTCATGGACGAGCGAGGTCATCCACGCGAGGACTTTCGATAATTGCGAGGATTCCCACGGCCATTCAGCGAGCGGACCAACATATAAGGGGGAACTTCAGTCATAGCAGGGCAGATGTGCTGGGACCACCATACACTACACTTGAAGTTTCTACCTATCATCTTCTTTTGAAGTCTTAAGCGGCTTATAATTGTCTTAATCATCATATTTTTGAAGCATACTGAACTTATGCTATTAACTGTTTGTTGTTGTACATGTTTTATAAGTATATTAAATTAAATGTTTGTGATTTACTCTGAAGTTATTCTATTAAATATCTAAAAACCTATCACCACGATTGTAACAAGACTCAAACAGCCTGCAATAAATACGTACAGGGCTACAGGGTTGCTACAATAGTCAATATTTTCAAAAAATATTGTCTGAATAACTCTATACATTCTCATATGGTAAGTATTTATATACCTGTTTATATACATAACAATTATATTACATATTTTATTATAGGGAATTTGTTTTTAATAATTACCGTTTGCGTTTATCTAAATCCACATTAGTTACTCATTAACATGGCATTTACCGTCAGGTATCATAAAACGTCAAGTTTTTTTTTTTTGGTATAATTTCAACAGAAGTAAGTGTTTATTATAAAATATATCATTTCAGAACATCACACCATACAGTGCATTAGACAAAACTTCTTTTTATTTATATTCTACATGGGATCGGCCACCCTAGTCTTACATATCCTTAGAGCTTGATCTTCTACATGTGGTTCAATCAAACCAGCTATCCTCAAATCACTTTTTATGCCCTCTATCCATATTTTTTTTCAGTCTTCCTTTTCCTCTTTTACCCTCTACATTCATCTTCATAACGTCTCTCACTGCCTCTGCCTCAACTCTTTTCATAACATTACCGAACTATCTCAACCTGTTATTACTCATCATCCCCACAATTGATACAACTCTCATTTCTTATTCTATACACCCTCTTCACTCAACTCATCCATTTTAGCATTCTCATCTCCGCTACATTTATTCTCTGTTCAGTTTTCTTGACTACTGCCCAACATTCTGACTCATATAACATTGCTAGTCCCACTACTGTCCTATATAATTTACCTTTCAATCTTATAGGCATCATCCTGCCATACAGATCACCTGACGCTCCCCTCCACATTATCTATCCACAATTTATCTTATTTTTTGCGTCTTCTTTATACCGACCATTTTTTGTACTACAGATTCTAAGCACTTAAACCTATCAACCTAATATACTTCTTCATCGCCTATCTGCATTACCTGACTTTCCCTATAGCTTTCTCTTAAATCAAACACGATCGTCACGATTGTATAAGACAAAACAAATTATAGTTAAAAGAATAATATTATTGTTTTTCACTATTAGAATACTTTTTAAAATATTTTGTGAAACTCAAATGTGAAAACCGGCATGCACGTTTAAAAACAAGTTCAGACGGTCAGACTGATTTACCAAACATAGAGCCTAACATTCAAGTATTTTGTTATACTTAGCATTGAGTGAACAATCTGTTATCTTATTAACAATTATTTAGTCGTGTATTTAGTTAAACATTGTTCTTTGTGAGTTTGCATACACTTAAATGTAGTTTTATACACGTTTAAACCTGTACAAACCCCATTATAATGGGTATTTTTATGATAATTTGTTTTTGATAGTACTTCTCATGAACTTATTTTACTAGACATTATTTGTAGTAAGTTCCACAATGTGGCACGGTCAATAATTATTTAGAACTATAACTCAAACGAGTTAAGAGTTAATCAAGAACAATGGCTTTGTGGCGGCAATGTTGTGGTTTACATAACTGTTATGGAAATGAAAATATAAAATACAAATTTATGATATCACAACAAAATTACTTCACTTTGTTTTGTGTAAAAAATAGTTAGATAAAACATGTATTCTTTAAGCACTGGTATGCTTAATGATAAAACAAATTTACAAACATTACTAAACTATTACCTATTACTGTGAATGCATTACAATGATAATATACCTATTGTTGTATAGAATACATATGTTTGTAAATATATCGGTAACATTTTCGGTTTACTTAACTTAACTCAACAAAACATGACATACATTATAGTGCTAAAAGAATATTTTTTTTACATGCCTCTTTTTTACACAAAACTAAATGGAGTGTTTTTGTTGTGATAGATGTATAATGAACCTATGTATTTCTCGCCAGCCTTCTAGTATTTGGATGTGAGAAGAGAAGAGAGGGTTGGTAAGTTAGCTGAAATTTGGATTTAATGCTATTGCTGGTTAGGAATAGCCAGCAAAATTTTGGGACTTTGTAACTTATAAGTGTGTAAGAACGAAATTTTAAGATTGTGGAAAATAAAATATGCTTACTTTTTTTGTTGATTCAACCATCATAAATTTGATTGATAGTATAAAATATGATGAAAAAACAATACAATTGTGTGTGGTCATTTTTAAAAAGTTTTACTACATAAGTGGAATAAGTCAAAATGGAATTGTGATAATGTACCTGAATTATTGAAAGTGCTAGGAATAATGTTAAACATTGATAACCTAATATAGTTTTAGACTCTCGAAACATCTTTAGCAAATAGTTTTGTTTGTATAACGTAATTACAAATTGTAGTTGTCTGGGTAAATCCAGCCATTTAGACAAAATAAAATATTCTAGTTAACTTATCGTATTTGATTTATCAGTGTTTACTAAAAGCTTGACGTCATACTTTTTCGTGAATATACTCTAAACCCTAATGGAGTTGGAAGCTGAATTTGAAGTTGTAATCAGAAATCTGAAAATATAAGAGAAAACGATTATCTATCTAATACGAATATAAGATACAGCGCAATAGTTAGAAAATCGTATGTTATTTTACACATTGTAAATGACATTCTTAAGAAAACCAGTACAGTGGTCGGAGTATGTCGAGGACGAAGCATAATGGGACGGGGCGGTCACAGGTTTACAGGAATTATGACAACTGAAAATGATAAAATCTCTTTCAAATAAACGCTTTGATGGGAATCGGTAGTTTTTATGTCCAAAACCAAGCACAGTATAAACAAAGCGTTTATTCGCGCATGGTTTAGATTTCTGCTTTTGTTTTTAAACTTTTAAAAAACAGTTTGGCGAAAAGATAGCCCTCTCATACACTTGATAATATTTGGTTCTACGGAAGGTGTGAGACCACTTGGTAGACCAAGGTTAAGGTAGAAAGACCACGGTTCTAAAAATGTGGAACGGGTTGAACCGGATAAATATTGGAAAATCCTAGCAATGGATAGGGAAAGATGGCATGTCATAATATATTTGTCAGTATGGTCTTGAAGGCCGTTAACTACGAAGAAGTAGAAGAAAAAGAAGGCATACATGTTACAGAAACGGTACACATTAGGGCCCCTGGATACCGACCGTTTTTTTCAGCCAAAACACATACTTTTTTGTCCATCGCACAGGCTGAACCAATGATCGGATAAGCAATCTAAAAACAGATATGAATTCGTACTTGAGATCAAATTTTATTTTAAAATTTGAAATTTTACAAAATGTGCAAACGTGTTTTATGCGTAATAAGAATAAGATATCAAAAAAATATGCCGACTTATCTCAAGTAAACACGTAGAATTCAAATATGTTTTCAGATTACTTATCGGATCACTGGTTCAGCCTGTGCGATGAACAAAAAATGTACTATTGTACTAACTAAAATGGCTTTTACTCGTAGAAATAGTGATTTCAATTAAAAATAATACCATGAAGTTTATACAAATTAACCGGTAAATTAATTGAAATTTTCGAAATTTAATTAAACCATTTTTTTTTTAAATATTGCCTATATAAAACTCCTTAAAAATGGTCGGTATCCAGGGGCCTTAAAAACATTGTACCTATGTAACATTTATACGTTATTTTATTAAAAGTTTAATATTGTGTTGATTTTTTGGAAAAAAATAGTAAATATATAATATTAAAACGTGTGTAGAAATCCTTAAATTTTATGTCTGTACGCCTATGTATGTATGTGAACCTATAATTTATTATAACCTTCGAATTTGAATATATTTAGTCATATTAACACGTGCTCACACAAACGCAAAACAAATTAAATTCAAGGGCAATGGTTTTATACATTGTAAATTCTAAAAAGACAAAATCATTAGACATTATACCAAACTAAATGTTTATTTATTATAACTAATTTTCTTTTAAAAAGACCAAACAAAGTTTCCTGTCGAATAGTATTTTATAAAAAAAAACGTACAAACAACGTAGCCACCGCACTTATAGGCCAGTTATCTTCCTGTTTTACATGTAATAAAAATACAGTAAAAAAAAAAGTATTAGTTTATTATTCATTTATCGACCAAAAATGTCATTAATATATATTATCAAATAACAATCGTACAGTGCGAAACTATTCATATATCTAGTCATAAATCGGTAAAAGAGAAAAAAATAACACTTTAAGTTATTAAAAAAGAAATAATTACATACATTTGACTGTGTTAATCATTCATTTATTTTTGAGTCGTTTAGAAAAACGTAAAAAGCATTCTACCACATACGAAATGGATAACTTTTATAAATTTAACTTTTAATGCTAAATTAAGATTTCATTTCAATAATTATGTTATTTATTTATATATAATTAACAATACTTTAAATATTTATTATGTGTAATAGATAAATAACATTTTTTATTTTAGATCAAATTTGGAGAACGCTTACAGTATAAAGTGCACAGTGCATAATTTATCCAAAGCTAGATTCGTGGTGCAGACATTTTCCTTCATCACATTAATTTCTTACACCCAATAAAGTATAACTTATAAAAACACATTGTGAAAAAGGAAATTATTGTAATAAAAGAAGTGAAGATAATGAGAGGATTTAGAAAGAAAAAAAAATAAAGCGCCAAATAGAATTTGAAATGACTTACTGTACCATTTGTATGGAATGAAATAGGAAACAGATTAGAAAAATATAAGTGTAATGCTAGATAAATAATTTTGTTATTAGCTCCAAAAAATTAATTTTCTTCGACCAAGATACTTAAAGCAAGCTCATAGTTTAAAATCGTTAACTTTTCACTTATCAGATAAAAATTATCATTATATTCTTGAAGAAAATCTATTATCATACCATCATTAAACTCTTCGTTTATGTCAATACTAATCCAATCTATTCCATTTGATTTACACCCGTTTAACTCCACTAAAAGTTCTTTGACTCTTGCCGATATCCTAGCTATAATGCTATCAAAATTTTTTGGATCTTCGTGCATTGCACCATTATACGCACCGACTACATCAAAAAACAAAAATTCGGTAAAGTATATAAACCCTTGTACATTTTCAATTGTGTTCATTGTCTCCGCATACAAAACTTGCGAATGGATCAAATCCATTTTAGGCATTTCTTTGTTGAATATTAGCAATACCACCCACAGATAAGTGTACATCCTCACACTGATGATTTGTTGAATCAACTTGTGGTAAGTAAGGTGGCCAAACGGCTTCGATATCCATTCGCGGTTTTCAATGAATTCCTTAGTTTTATTTACTTCGGCGGCGTGGCGTCTTATCGTTGGCCTCCATTCTACGACTGAGCCTGTTATTTTTGCAAACAGTAATTCGTGTTCATCCCATAATGGTTTTAGATACAAATATTCGATCGAAATGTGCTGCATGATGTCAGCATAATGTACACCAATAATTACAGACCTTTGCAGAACTCTAAAAATGTTAATTGGTACATTGGGATTTTTCGACACTAAATCAACCTGTGGTTTATTTTTGGGAAAATATTTGTTATTCTTGCAGTATTGTAAAAATGTTGTAATATCGCTTTGTAATTCCTCTTCTTCGAAAGGATTTTCCCCAAAGAAATGTTTGTTGCTCTCGTATTCAATCATTGCCATGATTTTGAAATAATAACTCCAAAACCATTTACCCGCTTTGCCTTTGGCATTTTCAAATAATAGAACCATAAAACCAGCTTCTTCTTTTAATACGTTAAGTTCTTCTCGTGCTACATCAATAGTTCCGCCTCTTCGCAACGCTTCCAGAATATTTGTCAAATGCACCAGTTTCGTTTTTACGATCAATGAGCATGTACATTTAATGTCTTCGATTTTCTTGTAAAATTTATCAAATACCTTATCGCGGTTTTTAGTGTCGTTGTAAGTTCGAACAGGGGTTGTCAAAACTGTCATTTCTTGTTCACTAAAAATTATTTCTTGCTGGTTGTAGGTTTTCAAAGTATTCACTGTATTAATGTATGAATAAGAGAATGTTTGACTGACGTAATATGATGGCGAAACCTATAATAAAAGATATGTACTCATCTAAAAATATTTACATAATTCTCTTTTTTAGTAAATTCCTATGGCCTAGAGATCTACTACAACAACTACAATAAATAACAATATAATGAAAAATAATTTTTTTTTACTACTTCCTAGCCGGGTGACGCTGCTGAGTGTCATCCCATAACTGTTAATTTTTCATTGTCATGTATATAATATCTTTTATCAAATTTGCTTAATGTACTCACTGTATAGATTGTAAATATAATTTTAGATAATAAAAAAAAAAAAAAAATTAAATTCCTGACACCTGTCAACTTTTAAAGCAACATATTCTAAACTTTTTAAGTTATACATTTATATAATATAATATATATGGAGGGTTGGTATGTTAGTATAAATTTGGACATAACGATATTAATGGTTGGGAAGATCCATCAACATTTTTAGGACTTTCTAAACAATGAGTGTGTAACAACTATCTTTTAAGATTGTAGAAAATAAATAATGCTTACTTTGTTTGTTGATTCAATCATCATAAATTTGACTGTCAGTATAATATATAATGACAAAATAATACAGTAGTGTGGGTTCATTTTTAAATAGTTTTACTACATAAGTAGAATTAATCAAAAGAGAATTATAATATTGTAGCTAAGTTATTCGAGTGCTGGAAATAATATTTTACATTAGTAAACTAATTTTGTTGCAGCACTCTGAACATCTTAAGCAAATACGATTGTTTGTACAACGTATTTACAAATACAATTGTCTGGAAATCTAAACATTTAGACTAAATAAGAAAAGTCTGGTTAACTTATCGTATTTGTATTGTTTGCTAAATTATTGGAGTGCTGGGTATAACGTTTTACATTGGTAACCTATTATTGGTTTAGTCACTCTAAACATCTTTAGCAAATAATTTTGTTAGTATAACGTAACCAAAAAATGTAATTATCTGGTAAAACCCAGACATTTAAACAAAACGAAAATAGACTAGTTTGCTTATATTTGATTTTATACTAAAAACATGAAGTCAAATTATTATGTGAATATACTATAACCCGTAATAATGTTGGTATATTGTGTATTTGGTGAAATTGGTTTCAAGGTATTCAAATAATTACCTTACGAACACGTGGTTATGCATATCAACCGCATAAAATATTGTTTTTGAAACATTTTAAAAATCAATAAAACAAACTGAAATTTGTAAAACAAATCAAGAAAGCGTTAAAAACTCTTCTTGTTTAATAGCTGGGTAAAATAAAATATGTTTGATTATAAATTGAAATAATCTAGTTAAGTTATAAAACTTAATCAATTTCTTCCACTAAAAGCAGGGTCGAGCGCTTAACGAGTACTCAATATGCTATGATAAATCTGAGTTAAAATTCGTGTCACTCGATCATTTTTGTAATGTTTGAGATATGGTTAAAACTAACGCTGAGCGACAGATAGAATTTGATTTGATTATTGACAATTTATTAATGAACAATCCTAAAAATATATATAAATAATCGGGTACCTAGATTTTATTATTCTTTTTCAAATTAAGAAAGCATTCAAATATTGCCCACTTTCGTGTAGTCGTAAATTGTTTTCCATTTGCAAACTTTGTAAGTACTACTTTGTTATATCTAGATTATTGTATTATTTATTTTCGATATGTTCATAAGCTAATTCTATACTGGATATGTATTGGGATAAACATTTCAGTACATATACGGTTCTTCAGTCCCACTTTCTTATTGTTTTAGAAAATGTCTTAAGCCCTAATAAAATGTAAGTAGTGAAAATGTTGAAGGATTTTTGTAAATATGGGAAAACCAGTATAATAAACATGCAGTTACAGTAATCAAATTACTATTGATGATCTTATTATCGACGGGCTATAATAATACGGGTTTAAACGTGTAGTTACTACATCACGGCTGTTTTAATAATACATACGTTTAATTTTGTATAGTTGAATATAAAAACCAGAAATTTTACACATCTGCCACTCCCTCGTTTGCTCATTACACGGTTTAAAATTAAAAACCAAACTATGCTTTGATGATTTACGTGCAGTCAATCCCGTACTTGAGTTGTTGACTTTGCGTTCTATACCTATTATGCTCTTGCATTAACAATTAATGCAAATTAATTTCTTTGGTTTTTATCAACATTTACTTCTGTTTAAGTACCTGCGGTCGTCGATATTAACATTGTTGATCATATCAAATATTTTTTTAGTAATAATAACGTTACTCACGACATACTTAACCATACTCATTACCATGATCCATTGTTATAAGGATATAAAGGATATGGAGAATGTTTGCAAGGCTCTAATAAAGGTTTTCACATAGGTATTACATACTATATTTTAACAGCTTGCGTACGAGTCCGCTACACCACGGTAACATTTTTATTTATCTAAGGTGCCTAGTAAACATATCAAGTTGCTGACGAACAATTCATAGAGAATTTGTCCTCTTAAATAATGAATTTATTATTCATTTCTGTTTTAAACGTTGTGAATACAAAAAATATTCCCCCACCCCCATTTCCATCCACAACTACAACCCTATCCCTCATCTCTAATCTCCTATCTCTCACCTCTATCTTTTACTCCCTAACTCTTATCCCCTATCTCTCATCCCTTATCTCTTGTTTGAGTAAACAATACACAGTATTGTACACTTTAATTGACATTATATTTTAAATAGCTTCGTTGTGTATTGTATTTAAAAATGTAACGTTTTGGTACATTTTTTTATTAAAAAAAAAAAAAATACTTTAAATTATTTATTGAAAATTATAATGCACTGAAATTTGTAATGAATTTTATCTGTGTGACATGTGAAATGTGACTGTGTATTGTATAAAACAATAATGATGAAATATATTGTAAGATTCAAAATATAATAAGCTGTAAAAAACAGATTTTTTTTTGTAGACTCGAAATAGTCGTCTTTTTAGTATTCTACTAATTTTAAACACCGATGGTCTTGCTTCGATGCATAACTGTCTTATTTGTAATATACACATTTTTTTTAAAACCGAAATTCATGTTATATTTAAAGCCGCTTAACCGATTTCTTGATGTTGCGAGTTGCCAGGTAGATCAGAAATCGTACCTTAATGGTATTTTAATGTACCAAAAATAAAAATAAAAACATCCATATGAAAACCGAAAAAATTACATATTTTTTTTTAACTTAAAATTACAGAGGCTATAACTTTTAATTAAATATAGTCAAAAGAGTTTCAAATTTGTTTCGGTTTTTTTAGTTGTAGTTTTATGGTCTAAATTAAAATCTAGAACGAGCAAAATTAAAGGGGGGAAACTACACTTCGACTACATATTTTAATATGGACTTATTATAATAAGTGATTTGTAAAACTCTCTGGATTTAAACACAAAATTAAGCTTCGAGATCATTGATGATCGATGAGATTTCATATAGGTATAATATTATGTAAAAATAATATCTTAAATATTTATTATGTGTAATACAAAAAAAAATTGTATTTTAAATAAATATATTGAATTACAACGTAAACAGTACATAATATGTGCAAAGTTAGATACATGAATTTCTTACGACTAACATACAACTTAAAAAAACAATATTATTATATTATACATTATGTAAAATAGAAACTTCGATAAGTGTTTTAGATAAAATTCTTAGAAAAAAAAACATCAATATTATGTACACCGATATAAATTTAAAAAAAAAGTAACTAAAAAAATAAAAGAAACGAAAGAGATTTAGAGGATTTAGTAGAAAAAAAATATGAATGATCAAATATAGGATTTGACCGACCTACTATGGCATTAGTATGAAATGAGGTAAGAGGCAGTTAAGAAAAACAAAAGTGCAATGTTGGACAAATAAATTTGTCGTTAACCTCAAAAACGTCAATTTCCTTCAACCAGAATACTTAGAGCAAGGTTATAATTTAATACCGTCAACTTTTCTTTTAACCGCCAAAAGTTACCGCCAAATTCTTGAAGAAATTGTATTATCATATTATCAAAAACTTTTTGTTTATGTCAATACTGATCCAATCATTGCTATTTGAATTACTCCCTTTAACTCAACTAGAATTTCATTAGCTCTTACCGATATTCTAGGTATAATGCTATCAAAGTTGATTTGGTTGTCATTTATTGCACAACGAAACTCTGCTACTACATCAGAATAAATTGTTTCAGTATAGTGCATAAACCTGTGTACCATATCAATTGTGTCCAATGCCTCTTCATACAAAAGTTTTAATTGGAAGAGATTCATTTTAGGCATTTCTTTGTTAAATATTACCAACATTACCCACATAAAGGTGTACATCCTCACACTGATAATTTGTTTAATCAACTTGTGATAACTTAAATGTCCGAAAGGTCGTAATATCCATTGGCGGTTTTTAATGTATTCCTTGGTTTTATTCACTTCGACTGCGTGACGTCTTATTGTTGGCCTCCATTCTATGGTTGAGCCTGTAATTTTCCTAAACAGTAATTCGTCTTCATCCCATAATGATTTTAGATACAAATAGTCGATCGATATGAATTGCATGATGTAATCATAATCTACAGCAATAGTTACAGATGTGCGAAGTTTTTGAAAAATGTTATATGCGACATTGGAATTTTTTGAAGCCAAATCAGACTCTGTTCTATTATTGGGAAGGTATTTATTATCTTTGCAGTATTTTAAGAAATTTGTAATATCACTTTGTAATTCCTCTTCTCCGAAAGGAGTTTTCCCAAAGACATTTTTGTTGCTCTCGTATTCAATGATTGCCACGAGTTTGAGAAAATAACTCCAAAACCATTTACCCGCTTTGACTTGGCCTCTTTGAACATTTATTTATCATTAAACTCTTTGTTTATGTCAATACTGATCCAATCACTGCTATTTGAATTACTCCCGTTCAACTCTACTAGAATTTCATTAGCTCTTACCGACATTCTAGGTATAATGCTATCAAAGTTGATTTGGTTGTCATTTATTGCACAACGAAACTCTGCTACTATATCAAAATATAAAGTTTCAGTATAATGCATAAATATTTCTACCTTCTTAATTATTCGCATTGACTCAGTATATAAATGTTTTGATTGGACCAGATCCCTTTTATGCATTTCTTTGTTGAATATTACCAACATTACCCACAGAAAGATGTACAACCTCACACTGAAAATTTGTTTAATTAACTTTTGGTAATTAAGGTGACTGAACGGTTTCGATATCCATTGACGGTTTTCAATGTATTCTTTGGTTTTAGTCACTTCGACTGCGTAGCGTCTAATCGTTGGCATCCAATCTACGGCTGCGCCGGTTATTTGACTGAAAAATAATTCGTGTTCATCCCATAGTGGTTTTAGATACAAATAGTCAACCGGTATAATTCGCATTCCGTAAAAATAATCTACAGCAATAGACAGTTTTTCAAATATGTTAATTGGTACATTGGGATTTTTCGTAACAAAATCTAACTCCGTTATATTTTTGGGAAGGTATTTGTCATCCTTGCAGTATTGTATAAAATTTGATATATCGCTTTGTAATTCCTCTTCTTCGAAAGGAGTTTCCCTGAAGAAATGTTTGTTGCTCTCATATTCAATCATTGCCATGATTTTGAAATAATAACTCCAAAACCATTTACCCGCTTTGACATTGCCTGTTTGAAACAACAGGATCATATAAGCCGCTTCTTCTTTTAATTCGTTC